ATCTTCTGTAATCTGCTCGAAAAATTTAGGGATTTCGAATCTTCTGAGCTAATGGTTTCGTTTCCGGGTTTTATGAAATGCAGTTACGGCTCAGAGCTTGTCTGATGATCGAGCTCATGAGAGTTATGGAAAACTTCTCGTACGTTTTTCAATTCCAATTTTCGTATAGCTTGAAACCATATTCTTGTAGGTAGCAACCAAAGGCTTGTCTTGACAAATTCCTTGTGTTTCTGGATTTGGGTTTTTTTTTTATTACAGGGAATGGTGTTTAGCCCTGTTTCGTTCGATTTTGGACCTAGCTCTGTGCAGGAAAATGAAGGGGAAGAGAATGGAAGTGTTGAGAGAAAAGGACTGGTGGCGGCACTGCAGACGAAAGTTGCAGACTCTCTGAAACAGATTTTACGACCCATCGATGTAAGAATTAACTCTCTCTCAAATGTTGATTTCTATGTGTTGTTTATTTGATGGAGTGAAGGAAGGCCTAGCTAGCATTTTGTGATGGATAGTGTTACATTACTTATCTTTTTGTATATAGGGGGAATGGATATGTTACCTACCTTTAAGGTGTTTAGTATGTTATCGATTCTGTCTTCGCTGCAATTTCAGATTGGCATCATCGTAGATAAACGGTCGCCTGTTCTTACATACACAAAACATTTGTCTAGGTTACTCTTCTGTCAGAGATTGATTTTCAAGGAGTGAGTTGGCATCAAGGGAAGCATATTATTGCCTTTATATCTGGTGCAAGTCAAGTTACAATTCGTGATTATGAGGACAAAGGTCTGTTTTTTCAATTTCCATTCCAGCTTCGTTGTGCACATGTTGTGGAAAATTGTGTGCATACAGTTTCATTTTCTTCTTTTGAACAGATGAGAAGGAACCTTGTATTTTGACAAGTGACTCGCAGAGAAGTGTTAAAGCCATAGAGTGGAGGCCAAATGGTGGAAAATCCCTATCCGTAGCCTGTTGGTATGTATTATGGCCTCCTGATAATGTTTACTTTCTTCAATAGCTAGTTTCAGAGATGACTAAGGTACTAACAATGGTTCCATTGAGACAGGGGAGGGATATGCATATGGGCTGCTTCCTATCCAGGTAACATGGCATTGGTGAGATCTGGTGGTTCCTCTTTGAGGGGAAGTCTTTCTCGGGGATCTGGAACTCGCTGGATTTTGGTGGACTTTCTTCGGTGTCAAAATGATGAGCAAATTAGCGCTCTCTCATGGAGCCCCTGTGGAAGATATCCTATAAAAATTCTGCTATATTTGTTTTTGCTTTACTTCATTTTGGTGTTGTTCTTCTGCACACGTTTTCAACCATAGTTGTTTATCAAGTTGTTTCTCCTGATAGGCATTTGTTGGGTAAGTATTTGGATTTGTTGGATCTTTTTCTAGCCTTTGCATCACATGGGCCCCTAGCTTTGTCCAACCTGTTATTCCTTGACCTATTTTCACATATTTAGCATCAGCCTCATATGACAGCTCATCTTTCACCATATGGGATGTTTCTCAAGGTAATAGAAAACCATTGATAACTCTTTCTTAATGTTTCACCTCCACTTTGCTACTAATTAGTTTGGTCTGGAAGTGCTACTCACTAAGGGTCATCAGTTTATCAACGGTGATGAGATTCAAAACAGTATGCAAATATTTGAACATTTATTGTGGTTGCGATATATCAGTAAATCAAGTCTAAATCGTTGATCAGACAGAATTTGTTGTCTAGCTTGTATCTAAACACCCTATTTCTTCACTTGAGATGACAAAATGCTTCTTGCTTAACTGGATTGAGATCCATGTCTCTGAAAGTGATTTGTATGCATGTTCCAGGGGTGGGGACACCTATCCGACGGGGACTAGGTGGCATATCAATGCTTAGATGGTCACCCACAGGGGACTACTTCTTTGCAGCAAGATTGTAGGACAACTTATCCCTGTCTTGTTTACAAATGTGGAAAGTAGCTTGCTGTTTATGTTTTGGCTAATAAGATGTTTTTTTTATCACAGTGATGGGACCTTTTGCCTTTGGGAAACAAACACATGGACA